AAGGTGATTTCTTCAACATGTCTGTCTTCATCTTCTTCATTACAATTTATTGCTGTATTCTTTTTATTCTTCCCTCTGTCCGAAATATCCGATTCAGTTAATGTCTCTGTGGTTGCAGCCTCAAAATCAATAAAAAGAAAATCATTACTCATCGTTAATTTCATGGTTCTCTCTTAGCTGAACTCATTTTTTTGTTTTTCTAAAGCATCCTCCACACTTTTTAATTTCTCCGCGCTGACTAAGAATACAACTTGAGCAAAACTGTTACGAATAGTACGATCTGTAACATCGCAGCTCCGTGCTTTAGAAATTTCTGTTATGCTTTCTCGCAAATTGATTTTCGGCATGGATTCCTTTATGAAATACAGATAAAAAAGGATTTTACTGCCTTCTCTAAAAGCTAAGTGGCTGCGAAAATCAATTCAAGGTGATTTTCCCATAAAAGGCGTTAACAAGTTTGAAATGTTCTGAAAAATATTTTGGGAAATAGGGTAAGTGGATCTCAAAGAAAAGTTCGTTAATAGAAAATTCTCTTCGCTATTTGGAAGTTATTTTACGAAGAAATTTCCAAAATGTTCTTGGTTCCTCAAAAAAAAAAAAAAAAATCGCAGAATAGGGAAATTCACAAAATGGAAGATCGTTAAATAGAAGTCCGACTATATCATTGTCATGATTCAATTACTCACATTTTTTTTTTTTTTTACGTTGGTCTTCACTAGGTTTTCTTTTAAAAAGTTCAAGTTTGGCAACAACAAAAAAATTTGTTTCAAAATATACAGATACGCTTTTACAACCATTACTGTGTGACATTATACAACCTTTACTGTGACATTAATAAAATTATATATTCTCTAAACTTATCAATACTACTGACAATACAAAATACTACTGACTAAAATAAAGTTACCTACCATGATTTCAAAAATGTTATGTTTTTCACAACATTAGTTTTGCAGAAAAATTATTAATAATAACAGCTAAAATCAGGCACGGTTTTGTTTCAGTTGGATACCTAATCATTGTTTGCATCATATGCACTCAAGAAAGAGATGATATTATTTTTCTTCCTTTATTTATTAATTAAAAGACATGTCAAAAAATTTTATCAATGTTAACGTTAGTCACTGTCAAATTGTCATTAATGAATTTAATCAATTTATGCAGTAAACTGCTTAATTCATAAAAACTTTTTACGAGGAAGAAATTAAAATGTTTATGCAATAAGCAAATTTTTAATCTAAAATTAACTATAGAGAACAATTGAGTATACAGTTGGGTGTGGTAGAATTTGGAAGAATGTTTCAGAATTTCTGCAAAAATAAGTCTCAGAAAACATAAATATATTACATAATCTTGTTCTGTGCATTTGATTTGAATTTTAAGAATTCTCACTCATTATTGTACCAATCACTGCGCAAAATCTCAATAGAACAGTGGATTTGTGATGAAATAATTTTCATTATTTTTATAAACGCCGCCTTTCATAATAAGACTTTTAATACAATTTTTTTTTCGCTTAGGGGTCCTTATTATTTAGGAAATTCATTATAAATATAAAAACATATGACTGAATCAAGTGTTTTGATATTTATATTCAAAGCTGTTTCAAAAAGTGGATTTAATCGATTTCTGCATCTTACAATTAGTAATTGTAAACTTATTTAGTATTTTATAATAGAAAAGAGCCCTTTAAAAATTAGTTTTATAATAATGTAAGTTGATTGAATCATAATTTAATGTTACAACGTCCTATTTTCTTATCATTCGTAAATCTTCGAGAAAAGTTCTAATATTTATGATCCTAGTGTGGATTACCAGCATGATAAAGAACGTGATAAAGTATCTAGAATCGCGACATTTTTCAGGTCATTTTTATCGAAAAAACTAGTTTCAATTTAGTATTTCTCAAACCGTGGAAATTTTCAAAGATGGTGCATCAAATAAGCCAAAACTTTCAATGCATATTAAATCTTTTTTTTTGTTTTTTAATAACTGATATTCTCCACAAAAACATGAAAGTCATGTTAAGATATCTCGGAATAATCTTGCATTTTCTGCAAAGATTTCAAAATTATTTGAATCATTGCATTTTGTAGAAAATGTGAAATTGATTCTAGGTACAACACTATCCTCATATATTTGAATAGTTACAGAACTACGTACACAGTAAAAAAAAAACAATCAAAACTACCGGAATTTTATAAAATTTACTATGTTTCTGCCTATATGGAAATACCAAAAAATGTGATATTTTTTACACAACTGCTTTGTAAAATTTAGTAAAACTAGGTTAAATTATTAATACTTAATTGTTAATTTTAGTAAAACTAACAATAAAATATGGTTTTGTTACGTGAAATAAAATTTGGTAATTGTGGTAAAATTCAGTAATTTTATCATACAACTTAGTACATGGCATAAGAACCATTTATTCAGTTAAATTTAATTTTTAGTTTTGTATTTTTCCCCCCTCTTTTTTGCTGAATGTGCGATAATAAGAACTATAATTTTGAAAATCAGAATATTCTAAAGTAACAAAAGTTAATTCAAATAATATTTACAAGATCAGCCCTGGAAATAAATAGTCGCACTTTGTATTTGTTTCTTTATATTTTTGTCTAACGGTTGAATTTTGCTTCCATGCTAAAACTACACTTCTTATCTTATTTATCTTTTACCATTTAGCCCTTGGTAGGGTCAAGCCTCACAAGTAATTAATAGGAAAATAAGGGATTATTTGACTTACAATGGCCTAACTATATAGTGGAAAGGATAGCTGATGTGAAAATTACCATTTAGCCCATGGTAGGATCAAGCCTCGAGAGTAATTAATGGGATAATAAGGGATTATTTGATTTACAATGACCTAACTATATAGTGGAAAGGGCAGCTAATGTTAAAATTACCATTTAGCCCATGGTAGGATCAAGGTTCGTGAGTAATTAATGGGAAAGTAAGGGAATATTTGACTTACAATGACCTAACTATATAGTGGAAAGGGGAGCTAATGTGAAATTTTTTTGTAAATTTGACAAAGTAGCTTATTAATCATTATTTGAACGTATATTAGTATTCTTTTTCAAACAAATTTTGAAAGTTTGTATTCATTTTTGAATTACACATAAGCTGATTTGAATGAATACTTTTAAAAAAAAGTTATTTTCATTCATACTAGTCCCACGGTATAGTGACAATGTATACAAGTCATGAAATTAATCAATTATTAAATCTTTTGTTACTAATAAAAAGCAATTAAAATTAAAATGGAAAAAAAAATTAATCTTAACATGCAGCCTTGCGTAATAATCTTAACAATGTTTATTTTAATAATTGTTGTTTGATAATTGCATAAATTCGAACTTCTCTCACTTTAACGGGAGATTTTTCTAGAATATTTAAAGTGGGGTAGCAAATGCTACACTTCGCCATTAGATTTTTATTTTCGCAAATTTGCAATAATTTTAACAACAACATGCAAACAATTTAAACTAATATATTAAACCTGATAATCATGGGGGGAAATTTTCAATTGCTGGCAAAATTAAATTAGATCTGTTTAATCCATTTGCTATTACACTGCAACTGTAACCCTTTGACGCAGAATTTTAACTAAACATATTTTTCCCATTTTCTCATTATTTTGTATTAATTTAGGTAAAAATAAATTAAAAATATTTTGTTTATGATTTTTAATAATTTATGGTTATGAAATACAGCATGAAATACCGGTGTCTTTTTATACGGTCAAGGTGAAATCCTCCTAACATCCAATCAATAATTTTTGCACTTATTTGCATTTATTTAGATCCAAAAGAAACATTTATTCATTATTGAAACTTCTTTAATTTACAAAATCAATTAGTGATAAATTTTTGAATATAAATGGAAAAAAAAATTTAACTACTTTTTTTTGGATTTTATATTTTAGTACAAATCTAATTCCGAATATCTAACAGATTTTTTAGTAGCTATTAGACTGTTATTGTAATTAAAAAATGCCAAAATATATTTTCGCTTGTAATTGGAGAGTCAGAAATAAAATATATGAAAAGGACACCAGTATATATCATATCTACATTATAGGGATAAATATTGTAGTAATCTACAGTTTCCGATAACTTCTGATTCAAGTAACTTTAAATAAATATTGCGTCAAGGTATGCATGCAAGAGTCTTAATTAAAAATTGCAACATCGGTAACGAAAATGAGACAAACCTCGAATCTTCAATACATTTGTGATCCCCTACTCGATGTTATTATTTTTTCTTTTTGAAACTATACATGTAAGTGTCTTAAAAAAAGAAATGCCTGCTAACATTAATTTACTTCTACTGTGACATTTTCTTAAGATTGATGAGAGCCCTGTTAATATTGATATGTCACTGCCATCATGCATGTCATGTCATATCGATATCATGCATGTCATACTGGGACACATAATTGTGTATAGATGTGTATCGTATAAATAGGTCACAACTATAGACCACAACTATGTATCCCCATAAGCCCCATGGAGTAATTTGTTCATCTAAACTCATGATTGGTTTAAATAACCAATCATGGCAATAAAAAGGCAAATCAAAAGTGACTATTAAAATATGTAATAAGCATATTCATTTATGAAAACGATTAAGTAGCAGTTAAAAGGAATTTAATAATTTACTTTTAAACCATAAAAAACTTTGCTTTTTTAATTTGCTACTTAATAATTAAGCGTGTTATCATTCAGCTACATATGTAACACAGTTTTGTTAATCTACTAAAATCTGCAGAACAATTTTGAGTGATAAGTAATAAAAATATTCCGTTTGTGAACATTAGTCCCATGTACCATACCACCCTATTATTTGCTTGATGTTTTTAAATGAAAATAAATTATTTGAGTGTTATATTACAGAATTCCAAGAGAATGGAAATTAAATAAAGATGATAAGGCATGTTTACGGAAGTAATTAAGAAATAAAATTTTATGATAACAAACGTCCCATTTTTTAGAGTATAAAATCAGGTAAGTTGTTTGATGGAGTATTCAAGTTTCATCTTAAATCATCTTCAGTAAGTCATTTTAATTCATATTGGGTTTATTTTTTAAATTTGAATTTCTTTCATTTTGTTTTTATTTTCTATGACAAAACTAGTTTTGGTAAAATATTAGAGAATTCAAGCAATATTTAGTTTAATGATGGAGTATTTTTGAAATCTATATGCCAAAAGCATATATGTAAATTGAGCACAGCAATTTTTAGTTTACGGGGTGCTCTGTAATGACCACCCTTAACTTTTAACATTTTAAAATTTATATTAAAAAGGAATCCGTAAAACATATTGCCAATTAAAGTTTAAGCATGAAAAAATGTATAATTGCTATCTTGTGAATTGATGACGGAGGGATGGAAAATGCCAAAATAATACTCTTATGATTGCAACTGCATTTCTCATTTTTATTCCTCAATCATGTTGTCGTTCATTCTTGTATTTTACCTTTCTTACTAGTGATGCGATAGTATTTTTGACCCTTCATTCTTTAAAACCAAATTATAACATTCAATTTTGCATATTCACTCATAAATGGCAGTATTAAAAAATAGCACATAAAATTAAATACATAAGCTATTTTTCGCTGCTGTGCTTTGATCATCGTATATAAATTTTTAACTTTTTTTACAAAATTTTTTTTAAAAATATGGGACTGAAGTAATTATTAGATTAAGAGGGCTTTCGTCTCTTTCACCTCCATAATTAATTTAAAGTATAGAAAAAGTGAGTTGAAGCAAATTTAGAGTAAGCCATGAACTGAAAAGAAATTTTTAAAGAATGAAGCGATGATAACTTAGGATTAAGCAGTGGAGTAAATAACTCTTCCAGTAAATAATTTGACTGCTTTTTCATATTTTCTTTTTACCAATTCAAACTTCATGGCTTACTCTAGGTTTTCCTGAACTCACTTTTTGTTTTTCTTAAATTTTCTATAGCATAATGAGGGTGAAAGAGAATTTGCAATGATCTCCCTTGCTATGGTGTCCTTTATCTTAGACCTCATTTTTATAAGATTTGCCTTAAAATTAATTTTGTTCTTCACTTGACTGGATTGTACGAATATGTTATCTCTAATAGCTTTCACAAAAATGGCACTCTAGATAATTTGTGTTTATATGTAATTTACAAAACTAATCTGATTTACGAGTAATATTAAAAAACAATTCGTTTCAAAAAACATCAAGTTGAATAACCTGTTTACAATAAATAGAATAATTCGCATTTGAAAAAAGAACTAATTCTTTAGATCAGGAAATTAAAAATTAATAAACAGACACTTACTTAATTATTTTCTAAATAATCTTAACTTATCCTTTGAATTGTGTTAAATTAATAGACAAGCACTTAATTAATTTTTATTAATATTTCCTATGTATTGAGTTAAAATTAATGAACAAACATTTATCTAAGTATTTCCTAATTAATTCTTTATTAATATCTCAATCAATCGAAGTGTTGCTTAAAAATTAATAATCAAACACTTACTAAAATATTTCCTAATTTATTTTTTATTAGTTTCTCTTAACTACCCTACTAATAAGTACATAGTATTATATTGTTTAAAGAATATTTTATGTTTTTAATGCTAATGTGTAAGAAGTAAGGATTTGTTTTCAATGAAAATCTGTAAAGAAACCTCCTGGATACTGTTTAATTTCACTGTAAAGCAGTTTTCATTCCTAATGTATAACATTCGTTACAATATTTATCTAAAAGAAACCTCCTGGATACTGTTTAATTTCACTGTAAAGCTGTTTTCATTCCTAATATATAACATTCGTTGCAATATTTATCTAAAAGAAACCTCCTGGATACTGTTTAATTTCACTGTAAAGCTGTTTTCATTCCTAATATATCACATTTGTTACAATATTTATCGAAAAGAAACCTCCTGGATACTGTTTAATTTCACTGTAAAGCTGTTTTCATTCCTAATATATAACATTCGTTACAATATTTATCGAGAAGAAACCTCCAGGATACTGTTTAATTTCACTGTAAAGCTGTTTTCCTTCCTAATCTGTTTCAATATTTATCTAAAAGAGATATTAAACGCTTGATTCAACAATACTTGTCAACACTAAAAGGTGAGTCATTGTGAAGTTTCTTTACTGTAAATTCTTAATAAAAATATATAAAGAATGTTCTGTAAGGATTAGTCTTAATCAATATGTTTAGAATCCTTGTAAAAAATAAATTCAATAATGAATGAGCATTGGGGGTCACAAATCAATACGTAATTGAGGGAAAAAGAGATATCGAAATCTGTCAAATCACAATTAATATCAAAATCCTTGTCAGAAATGTTCATAGACTTTGAGTGACAAATTAACATTAAATGAATAAAAAATATGATGAATCACTGTTGAGTAAAGTGGAATTATAAACATTTAAACCAGTTTATTGCCCAATAAAAATGAAAGGATTTTCTAATAGTTTTCTCCTCTTCTAAGCTTACTTCAGAAATCAAACAGGTTTTGTTTTCACAATCATCTTTCTCATTAATAGCTTGTCTGATTTTGATAAATGTATTCTTTTATTTTTAACGATAAATTTGTAAAAAATTATTTGAGCGCGTTGATTACGAAGCATGTCGAGCTTCTTAAAGCATTTGAATATACGATTAAGTAATGTCCCTAAAATATCAATTAAAGTGTAAATTTTATTATTTTTTTTGTTGTAATGTGTATTTTTATTATTATTTTGCATAGGTCAAATACTTCTTAGACTAATTAATTACGCACATTTTTTGAAGCCATTTGCCTATTTCAATTTACTGGAATGGACGTAAAAGGAAATGAAATTGTCCTCCAGTTTCAAAATTTAGTTCTAATAGGTTTTAAAACTAATTTTAGGCAATTACTTAGAAATTAATATTTTTTGAAGCATGTCTCATTTTAATTTTACTACTTTGATGGCAAACAAAAAACTCTCACTTATATTAACATAAATTTCATTTTGTTTCTAGATTCTGTAAACTAACCTGTTTATACTTGTAATATTGTCATTTTTAATGTAAATTGCCCTAAAAAGCACTTAACAATATGGATGCAAGAGTTCAAATAAAACATTTTAAAGTGTCCCACTCATCTCCAATGTTGTGTTTCCATTTAAACGTAATTTAAGAATAAAATTAAAATACAAAGCTAGATAAATTAGTCATTGCCTACTTGAAGGCAATCTATGCTTGCTTTTTAAAAAAAAATTAAAATTTAAGTAGATACCGAAAATTTTGCATATCTATATAAAAGAACATTGAAAATGTTAGATGAAATAGCTGTCTATTCATTACATTCCCTATTACACTTGAAAATTTCATTATACTTGAAAATTTCGTTATACCTTTAATCGAAAAATGGCTAAAACAAACTTCTTTTCTTAAAATATTCTCTTAACTTAATTTTTTTTCTAAAAGAAGCACTTGTTATAGTTTTTTGTGATTGTTTTTAATATAAAAATCTTGAGAAGTTTAAGACATTGAATAAGAAAATAAACATAATTAATAAATATAATTACGGCAAAATTATAATTTGTTATCTAAAAATATTAACTAAAACACTTAAATCATCTGACGCCAAAAAAATGAAGCGGAAAAATATAATTAATAATGGAAATAATGAGTTATTTTTAAAAATTGGTACATTTTTTAAGCTAATGAAGTTCTTCATTATCAATCTATTATAGTCGTTTACCATTTCAATTTCATTTATTCTCTTTAAAATATAATGAATGTATCAGGGTGTGGTTTTGTGATTCTAACTATCTTTTACAAGTGCTATTATCAGTGTTTGTTATTTTGACATTATACTATAGACTGAAACAATAAATTAGAGATTGATCATTTCAATAAATAATTCTTTTTTTTTTCAGAATATGATGTATAAATCAAAATATACTTTTGTGATTGCGGCGATTTTCAATATTTTTACAAGTGTTGTTTGCAATACAAATTACTATGGTAAGTTTGTGATCCTTAATTTACAATTCGTGCATGTTAGATATTGCAAAAGTAAGTCTTTGTACTCATATTTCTACATCACTGTTAGTATCAGAGATTACAATGGTAAGTCTTCTACTTCCTTTATAAGAATGATGCAAACCGTAAAGATCATAATGGTAAGTCTGCGTTCCTCATTGGTACAATTTTTTTTTTCACTAAAGATTACAAAAGTAAGTTTTAAGAAATAAAAGCCATGATCTTTTAGTATAATTTTTAAATTTTTAAGAAATATTATTTGGTTGCTTAGAAATTTTTATTTTATACGCAATAACATTAAAAACAATGAAGTTGCAATATGGAATTTTCAACTTAAGATTATTCGTCAAAGACTCTGTAATTTCGCTTTTTTTACAGATGTCATAATATCTGGAGAGGAATGAAAGACAGCTTAGGATATTTATTTATTGACGTCAATTTTTTCGAAAAATTCTATTCGGAATTTTTATTCTACCGGTTAACTGTGTAATTTATAATTGACTGAAAATTTAGTTTAGTTGAGTATTATTTAAAATATTAAAACAGGTTCAAAAAACCTGAATTCCTCCTTTCTATTAAACTACACTCTCAAATGAAACAGTCCGTCTTACTTATTCTGATAATGCATGATATTATTATCCGGCTTAAATTGTTTATGACATGTTATAAACGTGTCGAAAATGATTTGTTTAATTTATAAGAAACTGTTTTAATGTTATAATTATATCAAGAAATAATGTAGAATAACATAGTTATTGATTTTTGAATAAAATAGAGCAGCTTAAAAAAAGCAGATGATAAAAAAAAAATTAAAGAAATACACCAATACAAAAACCATTGTGTCAGTCATTATACCCTCAAAATTTATAATAATAATAATAAATTAAGCATTAGAACAGATTCCAGGCCATCAGATGAAGACGACATTGAAAGCGACCAAAGCTGTTTATTTTGCTACGAATTGCGCTAAGTCAGAACCACTGAAAGTATCAGTCTCGACTATAATAGATGGACTCAGTCTCCAGTGTCTCAACTGTTAAGGATGGCTTTAGTCTCCAGTGTCTCAACTGTTAAGGATGGCTCCAGTCTCCAGTGTCTCAACTCTTAATGATGGCCTCAGTCTCCAGTGTCGCAATTGTTAAGAATTATCACATGAAGCCTATAGCAATGCAAAAAAGTTCTTCTGTGATTTTTGCTCTAATATATTATCACTTAACTTAATTTACAACAAGTCAAAATTACTTACGTTCCTTGATTTTTAAGCCCCTACTGTATGTCACTGCCTTAATTGTTTCAGTTGAAATTTTTTTCTTTTTCTTTTCATTCTTACTATATATTTAACCTTCTTAGTCCCGAGCTTTAAATGATTGCAGAAAATGTGACTTATGCTTAGAAATATATAGCGTAGGTGAAAGTAAACTATTAAATGTGTTAAGAAACAAAAAAAATAATTGAAATAACAATAAATTACAATAAATAATTAAAATAATACTAATGAAATAATAACAATAAATGAATAAAATAATAATCATAATGAACAATAAATTAATAACACCAATTTAATGAAAATAAATTAACATAAAAAATTAATGAAAATTAATTAACTTTTTTTTAAATTAACACATAAAAAATTTAAATTTAGATTTTTATCACTTTTTGCATAACGTAGAATATTTTTATAATGATTATAATGTCCTGAGCTTTAAATAATGGAAGAAAATACAAATTTTACTTAGAAATAAGTAGCATGGAAGAAATGCAGAACTCAGAAACGCATTAAGAGATTAATTAAATTAATAATTAATTAAAGAGATCAATTAATTAAATTAGATTAATAATTAAAGAGATCAATTAATTAAACTTAACTTAACTTTTAAACTAGCTAAATTTAACTTTTTTAGTTATTTTTAACTATTACATTACAAAATAGCAAATTTTAATTCAAACAATTTTCAGCAAATTAGTGGATCTTTTTATAATGTATTTCTTCAGATTTTGGTCATGAAACAAAATACACTAGCCTCAAATGCAGTAACAGATATTTTATAAAATATATAGACATATATTATTTGCAGGTATTTCATACAGATATCCTATATTATCAAATAACACTGTATAAAAGGTATCGAACCTTTGAGCATTTTTTTACATTAAATAATATTTATTTTTAGAATTAAATGCTAATTAATTATTTAAGTAAATTATTCATATAAAATAGAACATATATATTATTAAAGTAGATATTCTATATATGTATATATATTATCAGAAATATCTTTAATATACAGTGCAGTAGTTTAAAAGAATTTTTTCTCTTGTAAGATTTTTTTATCAGCCGTTCAATAGAAAAATTAACGTAAGCAGCAAGAAATTTAAAATCGATATTTTTGTTATTATTTGGCTTTATCGTATATTAAGCTGCGTGTTACAAAAAGTGTTTATTTTTTAAAAAATTTATTTTTTGTCAGTTTTCTGAAAAAAATTTCTTAGGGTTGATAGCAAGAGAAGAAAAATAGTTTTCAAACCTTCTTTCTTGAAATTTATCATGAAGCACGATGTTTTTTCAATTGCACGAGAGAGCACGACCATTATGCAAAAAAAAAAAAAAAAAAAAAAAAAAAAAAAAAAAAAAAAAAAAAAAAATTCAGATTTCCGATTAACAATGTATAACTCCATAGCAAAGTAATTTAGAGTCCACATTTGCTTTAAGGAGAGGAAAACTACGAAAACCTTTTACTGCGAGCCCGACGGAAAGGATATTTTAACCCATTATCCTTTTACCATTGAGGATATTTTACTATTTTCATTAACACTGAGGTCGGAACGAGTCTGTAGAGAAATTCGTTTAGACAAGCTATCACTGGGAATCAAGCCTGGGTCCTCTCATTGGAAGAGAATCACGATTTTATTTGAGCTACTCTGGTTTCCCAAGAGGACATGAAGAAAATTCTTTACGGTTGTGCTTGAATTTTAGTTATCAAGAAGCCTTCCCATGTTAATATATATTTTTTCGGGTTTTTATTTCCACTTAAAGAAACAACATTATTTAACACACCATTATTAACAATTTAAATGAACAACATTCAGCATTATTGTTATATATTTACACAATTTCGAAAAATATCTTTCATAATTAATTTTATTTTTAGGAACAAATATTGAGTCTGGAAAGCAAGAATTTCGAGACGTGGGATCCTTTTCAAAGAGTCGTCGATTACTCAGCGCAGAAGAAAATCAATCTACTTCCAAACCATCCGCTGGAAGGACATATCCTCCCTTTTTTCCAGGAATGGGTGGGATTACCTTGCCTACTGGCATGGAAGGTCTTCCTACTGGAGGGATGCCAAATATTCCTAACATGCCAACTATTTCCTCAAATCCGTCATATCCAAATATTTCTGGAATGAATGATATGTTCACAAATATGGGAGGAATGCCAACAATGCCAAGCATGGAAGGGATGCCCACTATGCCCAGTGCTAGTAACATGTCAAATATAAATGGAATGCCCACTTTTCCCAGTATGGGTAATATGTCCAACGTAAACGGTATTCCAACAATGCCAAACATGGAAGGAATGCCAACAATGCAAAACATGGAAGGGATGCCAACAATACCAAATATGGGTGGAATGCCAACAATGCCAAACATGGAAGGGATGCCCACAATGCCAAGCGCTGGTAACATGTCAAATATGAATGGAGTGCCCACTTTTCCAAGTATGGGTAATATGTCTAATGTAAATGGTTTCCCGACAATGCCCAGCGGTGACAATAATGGAATTCCAAGCATGCCTTCAGTTTCAAGGGGCCGTCGATTACTTAGTGTCGAAGAAAATCAATCTACGTCCAAACCATCCTCTGGTATTACATATCCTCCCATTTTTCCAGGAATGGGTGGAATTCCAACCATGTCAAATGGCAATGAAGGCCTTCCTACTGGAGGGATGCCAAACATTCCTAACATGCCAACTATTTCATCGAATCCATCATATCCAAATATTTCTGGAATGTTCACAAATATGGGAGGAATGCCAACAATGCCAAATATGGAAGGAGTGCCAACAATGCCAAACGTGGAAGGTATGCCAACAATGCCAAACATGGAAGGGATGCCCACTATGCCCAGTGCTGGTAACATGTCAAATATGAATGGCATGCCCACTTTTCCCAGTATGGGTAATATGTCTAACGTAAACGGTATTCCAACAATGCAAAACATGGAAGGAGTGCCAACAATGAAAAACATGGAAGGGATGCCAACAATACCAAATATGGGTGGAATGCCAACAATGCCAAACATGGAAGGGATGCCCACAATGCCAAGCGCTGGTAACATGTCAAATATGAATGGAGTGCCCACTTTTCCAAGTATGGGTAATATGTCTAATGTAAATGGTTTCCCAACAATGCCCAGCGGTGGCAATAATGGAATGCCAAGCATGCCTTCAGTTTCAAGGAGCCGTCGATTACTTAGTGTCGAAGAAAATCAATCTACGTCCAAACCATCCGCTGGTATTACATATCCTCCCATTTTTCCAGGAATGGGTGGAATTCCAACCATGCCAAGTGGCATGGAAGGCCTTCCTACAGGAGGGATGCCAAATATTCCTAACATGCCAACTATTTCATCGAATCCATCATATCCTAATATTTCTGGAATGAATGATATGTTCACAAATATAGGAGGAATGCCAACAATGCCAAATATGGAAGGAATGCCAACAATGCCAAACATGGAAGGTATGCCAACAATGCCAAACATGGAAGGGATGCCCTCCATGCCCAGCGCTGGTAACATGTCAAATATGAATGGAGTGCCCACTTTTCCAAGTATGGGTAACATGTCTAATGTAAATGGTATCCCAACAATGCCCAGCGGTGGTAATAATGGAATTCCAAGCATGCCTTCAGTTTCAAGGGGCCGTCGAATACTTAGTATAGAAGAAAATCAATCCACGTCCAAGCCATCCGCAGGTATTACATATCCTCCCATTTTTCCAGGAATGGGTGGAGTTCCAACCCTGCCTAGTGGCATGGAAGGCCTTCCTACAGGAGGGATGCCAAATATTCCTAACATTCCAACTATTCCATCGAATCCGTCATATCCAAACATTTCTGGAATGAATGATATGTTCACAAATATGGAAGGAATGCCAACCATGCCAAACATGGAAGGTATGCCTACAGGGCCAAATATGGAAGGAATGCCAACAATGCCAGATATGGGAGGAATGCCTACAATGCCAAACATGGAAGGTATGCCAACAAGGTCAAATATGGAAGGAATTCCAACAATGCCGAACATGGAAGGGATGCCAACGATGCCTAACGGTGGTAATAAAGAACTGCCTAACATACCAAGCATGCCTTCAGTGTCAAGGGGCCGTCGATTGCTTGGTGTAGAGGAAAATAAGCCCTCGCCTAAACCTTCTACTGGCATAACATTTCCAACTATGTTTCCAGGATTCGGAGAATTGTTCACCTTTCCCAGTGATATGAACGGTTATGTAACGGGAGGCGGGATGTTACAAAATCCAACTATGCCAAGTGCAGACGAATTTCCAACGTGGCCAGCAATTCCTAGTGTACCATCAATTCCTCGAAAGAGAGACTTAAGGCCCCTTAAAAGTTCTTCTAACACAGAGAGATATAACCCGACTATACCTGGCATACCTGGTTTACCTAATCAACCTGATTTTCCATCATTTGACAAACCTAAAAACATTTCGGGAAATATGACAGAATCGGAAATTCCTGGAGTATTTATTCCTGCGCATGCTTTGTTAATTAGATAGCAAAAAAGGTTTTGAATCAGAGAAATGTGTATTTGTCCTATATTTATTATTTTTGAAATAAACTTTAAACCTCATTTTTACTTTAAAAAATAATTGTCTGTTATTTAATAATAAGCAATAAGAAACAAATAGAATCTTGTTTATTTAATCGATGAACCGACAAGAAAATATTAACTGTCTAGTTCCTCCTCATTAGAAGATTACTCATGTCACATTATAGTTTCTTACTTTACAGCTCATTTATTTATAAGAATATTTAGGTGATATGTAGTGAGGCAAGAAAATATAACAACTTTATAATTCATTTTAGTGAGAAGAATTTACATCGATTGTTTTTAAATTTATTTTTTCAACAATTTATGTCAAAAAATTTTGAAATTTTTTTTTCTAATCCAAAGATCCAATTTTGGACTGTCATGACGCTAACTGTGCCGATGTAACACAAAATAAGTCAATAAATAGAGTTTAGATGTTTTAAAATGAGTGAACAAATTTTTAATTGTTTGATCATTTCATAATATCCTTAACAAATGGCAGCACTAAATAAATTATATTTTACTGTGTGAAAGATTTTTTTGTAAACGTTATTTAATATATTGATGCATGCAGTTATCAAAACAGCGTTATTAGTTTTACAGAAAATAGAGTAAGTACTTTTAACTTATCAAAATAAATTTTTTTACATTTAAATTAATTTCTTACTTTATAGAATATTTTTGGAACAGGAAGCCATTTTGTTACACATGAAAATTAGGATTAATTTTTGAAGAAGTTATTTTTGAAGAAAATATGATGTCCTTAAATTCAAAAAGAAAAGTTATTATGCTTTTAACTTTCTTAAATAGAAAATTGCTTACTTATTTAATGAACATTTAATGCATATGACATAATTATCAATAGAAATAAAAATTAGCTGCAATTAATATTATTGTCCCCCACCCCCTTTCAAAACGTGCCCTGTTATTAATTTAAAAAAATGCAGTTTAAAATTAAGGAGCAATACCCCTGGGAAATTTTAAAAAGAATTTTATTTTATTTTCATGATTTTAATTTTTTTAAATTTTATTTCCAATGGCAGGGAATGCAAACAATAACACAGAGGAACAATAAAAATAGAAAATAACGAAAGACCGAAGTCGTTGTCGTAGTTCATTTACGTCGCACTAGAGCTGCACAATGGGCTATTGGCGACGGTCTGGGAAACATCCCTGAGGATGATCCGAAGACATGCCATCACAATTTAATCCTCTGCTTCGGTAGCCCGACGACCTACACGCGAAGTCGAGCACTTTACGGTAGAACAGTTTAACGAAGACCAATACCGCACACTCTCGGTCCCTACGCAGACTGATCCAAGTGGTCACCCAACCGCACACTGACTGCTGCCAGTGATGCTTGACTTCGGTGATCTGCTGGGAACAGTGTCTTAACGATCTGTCCACTGCGGGACAAAAGACCGAAGTTATCTTCCCAAAAGTTCTCTCGCTTGCCAATATCAATATTATTATAATTTAAATTTAAATTTGGGAAATTTTAATTTCTTTTGTTTTTACATGTAAGCATCAAACTAGGCCCGAAGCATGACAGAAATAAAGGAAAACACATTTTGTATCCAACGTACAAATAGATCATACTAATTCCAAAATTTAAAATTACCTTTGCAAAAACAGTGTTTTTCAAACACGTAGACTGAGTAGCCTCACCAATTTACCTTACAACGTATCAGAAAGAATAATATAACCCATGTAATTTTCTTTACAAATAAAAAAAATTTATACCTTGTTTACATTAATAATTTTTTTATTAATTATAATCAGAAGGAATGTGCAAAGTTGTATTATGTAATTTAATAAATAACCGTTACTGTATGATACAAGGGAGGACTTGTGGTTTTCCTCTAATAAGTGGAGAAAAAACCTATATTCTTTCACTACATTGCAACTTTAAAAATTCTATATTTAATATTTAATTTTAAGCAATTTTTGAACCCTACGCATTAATCTAGGTGAGAGCACGTAGCGACGGTGAAGGACAGTCCCCCAAAACTATTTGCGTTCGACATGTTTTAAGTAAAACATGACCCACGATCTGTGGACTAAGTTGCTTTATAAGTTTTAACTCTATACTATTATATGCCTGCTCTTTCTTTGAGTACAAAATAAAAGCACAAAGTGTTAAATTAAAGCTTCTCTCCTAATAAAGATCTTATTTTAAGATCTCCTCTAATGCTCCTTTGGATGGATCGGAAGATTTTGGAAAACTCGTAACCTATGAGGGAGTTTTTCAGGGCTTCAGAAAGTATAGTAATAGCTGGAAGCCCTTTAAAAAGCGCCTTTTTTAAAGGTGGTATTAAGTTAAATGATTAAATCACAGCGGATTGCAACCAGCGCGAATCTGGAAAAAACAAAATTTGAGCCTTTTCAGAGGGTAACTTTGTATATCGTTCGACTCAACTCTTCATTGATAATTAAAAAATTTCAACCAGTGTGCAAAAGTTTAAAAAAATTATTGCGCATTACATAATATCATCTGCAACCATTAACAATCCATTGAAACTTTTCCATAAATTTCAATTTGCTGTTCTAACATTTTCTTATATCAAAACACTGGTTTTATACTTATAAACATCTCATTCATCTTACTCACACGTAAAAATTAACACGTCTACTTAGGCATCCCCTGTAAGTTTGACATTCCTTTGCTGTCGTCCCTTTTTTTACCATTCCAGTCTGATGTCCACAAAAAAGGTCTTATAGTATTGACTGTTTATTGAAGACGATAGCTTTCGGAGATAAAATATTTTACAATTTGTGTTAACAACGTTTCTCCTTTTTAAAAATAAAATAATTATATTTCTCCATTATTCCGAAGGTTATGTTCCTAAGAAGGAAAATTAAGTTCGACCAATGTGACAACCGTGTACAGGGGGTGGACAAAATAATGGAAACACTACTATACTTTCATATTTCTCAAGAAATACTTAAAGAATCATTTTATAACTTTAGAAATGTTTAGATCACACGATTTCTGTATACATGCATACCAAAGAAGTTTAAAGCTTTTAGAGGTTTGAGGAATCGACAATAAATTACAAACGGTAAAAAGTGTTTTTGAGCACCCTATGAAAGAAAGGAGTTATAAATTTGTAACTTGTAACAATTATTTTGGTTATTATATGCAATGATTTCACAAAGTTATGCAAGCCTAGCTTATATATTTGTGTAGATATGGACATCTTTATAAAACTGTCCAAGATAGGAGTAATTAAAGTAATTCTTTTGTACTGCGCATGCGTGATGAAAACTAATTTTTTTCTTAATTATGTAGTGAATCGTATTTGGCAACTAATAAAAAAAGTCCGATTTGAATAATTTAAAAAGTTCAAAGCAATTTTCTAAGTAGTTTTCGCGCTTTTTAAAAGAAAGCTCAAATAACAAGGGATTTTTTACAAATTTTATTTTGCACTATTAAGCAAGATTTATTAACAATGAACCGGCACTGTTGGGGATCATCCCACAGAAAAGTATATGCTTTTTCGCTTGCTTTTTTTCCTGATACAATCATATTTAGGCGTATGAGCGCTTATTGTAAGGTATTATAATTTATTATTTTATTTTGTCTTGTGATACAAAATAATATTTGTAGAAGAATTTGTATCATTTTTAGCTTTCTTCTAAAAAGTGCAAAAACTATTTAGAAAATTTATTGGAACTCTTTAAATTTTTTAGATATTCAAATCGGACTTTTTTCATTAGGTGCCAAATACGATTCACTACAAAATTATGATAAAAAATGGTAAATTTTTTTGGCGAATGCGCAATATGAAAAATCTATTCTAATTACTTATATATTTCATTGTAATTTTTTTAAATTGATCCGTAAATATTGTTTAATTGAATATCAGCAAAAAACGTAAGAAAAAAAATAGTTTTTTTTCCGTATAAAAATGTGCTTATCTCCATAAATATTTAAGCTAAGATAACGAAATTTTGCTCCATAATTGCATGTAATAACCGAAATAATTTTTGCTAGTTACAAATTCATTGCTACATGTTTTAGCTTAGAGACTTAGAATATCTAAAAGCACTATTTTCTGCTTGTAATTTATTGTTGGTCCCTCAAATTTCTAAGAGCTTTAAACTTCATTAATATGCATGAGAAATCGCATGATGTAAACGCTAGTGAAGTTACAAATGGATTCTTCAAGTATTTCTTGAGAAACAGAAAGAAATGTATTAACATAGATGTGTTTCCATTATTTTGTCCAGCACCTGTATAAAGTATGAGAAGACGAAACATATATGAAAAAAATCAATAACATAACAGACTTTTTCGTTCACCACCTCCCGCTTCACTGTTTTAGTAAATTTTGAGAAAAAAATTTCAGAAATAAAGTCTAAGTAAGATATGCTGCTACAACCCTTAGGAAAATTTGCCATAGAGAAGCCTATGGTAATCTATGGCAACCTATTGCTACCATAGAAATTTGTATGGCAAGATACCATACGCCTATGGCTACCATAGAGATTTGTATGGCACAGCCCCATAAGCCTATGGCTACCATAGAAATTCGTATGGCAAGATACCATACTCCTATGGTTACCAAAGAAATTTGTATGGCACAACCCCATAAGCCTATGGCTACCATAGAAATTTGTATGGCAATGTACCATAGGCCAATGGTAACCATAGAGGCCTGTATGGCATTTATATGGCACGTCACTATTCTCCTATGGCAACCATAAAAATTAGTATGGCAGTATACCATAGGCCAATGGTTACCATAAAGATTTGTATGGCTGTATACCATAGGCCAATGGTAACCATAAGGATTTTAATGGCACGTACCATTGGCCTATGGCAAACATAGAAATTTGTATGGCAGTATACCATAGGCTAATGGTAACCATAAAGATTTGTATGGCAGTATACCATAAGGAAAAGCTGATATAGATCCCCACCAACGAAACAACATCTCCTATGGAGTCCTCAAAAACATCTTCGAAAAGAAAGAAATATCCATTTTTTCACCCCGAAGTTAATTAAATTCACCATGTAATCCCACAAGGCATTCCTGGTGAGTCTTTTCCGGCCTCCGGGTGGCCAATTTTTCCACTTTTGAGTGTTTGAAATCCGATGTTCCATTGATTTAGGCTTAGAGTATCAGACCACCATATTAACGTGTCATCCACTACATGTGGAATCTTTCGCTAACTTAGGCTATTTATTTTAATATTTTTTCGATCTCATTCTTGGTCAAAAACATTTTATTGCAAACGCCTATGCGATTATCTATCTGAATTTATTAAGTTTTTAATTTCCGGCTGTCTGGAACTTTTATTATCGGTATCTCATATATCAATATCAAAGTCAGTATTTACATTCTCATTAGTTTTTTATTTTAATTCCACTTAGCTTCTTGCAATGCATTTTTACATTATCTTACACATGTTAGAGCTTTATATTTTTATTTTGTGTTTAATTTTTGCTTGCTATTAAATTGTTCTTTATCATGTCTCTGCGTTTTACTATCTTACAACTAATATTTCTAAAGTATCCACATATACTGGTACAATGTTCTGTTTCATATTTATACATAGCTTAGGGTCATCACTTAACTAGATTTGCTGGATTACTGGTTGACAATTATTTTGCTTCAATATCATCAATGGGACAGTCCCTGGCCATATCATCTGCAGCTGTTACCAAAAATGCTTTTAACAATTTAATCTTTCCTTAAGTGTACAACTTTTTCGTCATAGCGATTTCCTATATCCAATTAATTTTTATTTACTATCCCTGACCAAGTGTCAATTTGTCAATAGCAATTATTAATTTTTCCAATTTTAATCATGTCTTAAACATGATTTGTATTTACCAATGTTTCTATATTGCGTTCTCTTTTCTAACTGTGCTTAACACAACAACATAAATTTTCTGAGTTTGCTTAGTATCACATATCAAAATTTAAAAAATTTTCGTACTCGCTCCGACCATCGAACCATTATTTTACTTCGCTTTCTTTTAGGTTCCTCTAATATCTGACGCTTATCCAACTAATTATGATACCAATCAATTAAATTAACGTTTTTTATACTCACTCCGACCTCCAGATCCACTTTCTATTTTCTTGTTTTTTACAGCTTTAACAAATATTGGTTGATTGTACTCAATATATATTGTTCCTAATCAACATAACCAATATTTTCCCCACTCGTTCCGACCACCGGACCCATTTTCTAACGGTTCGTATTTACTGTTTAAAATTTATTTGAATAAGAACAGCATTCAGAAAGGATTCTGCAAGTGAAACAGGGGAAGCTTATCAAGGAAATTTTAAAAAAAAGCTTTCTGTGTATATATTTATTCTACAATTTTTAAGTTTTGCATTTTTAACATCCATTGCGAAAGATTCTTGTAATTATTTTTTGATGTATGGTAAAATATCAACGAGAAATGTTGCTATAGCTGTATGGCAAAGGTGTACCATAGCCCCTGGAAAAATGCTTCTTCATAAGATGTGGCACATCTTAGTTTTATGGCAAAAATTTGCCATATAAAAAAATGCCATAGGATATTCCTATGGGGTTTTGCCTATGGTAAAATTTTGCGATACACGTATGGCAAAATTTTGCCATACATGTATGGCAAAAATATGCCATATAAAAAAATGCCATAGGATATTCCTATGGGGTTTTGCCATATACGTATGGCAAAATTTTGCCATACATGTATGGCAGAAATATGCCATATAAAAAATGCCATAGGATATTCCTATGGGGTTTTGCCTATGGCAAAATTTTGCCATGAATGTAAGGCAAAATTTTGCCATACGTATATGGCAAAGTTTTACCATAGGCAAAACCCCATAGGAATATCCTATGGCATTTTTTATGGCAAACCTATGGCGAATTTTCCTAAGGGAAACTAAGCTCGAATGAAACAACGGAATAAAAATCGTTTCATAAAATTTTAAAATGAAACTTAGATCTAAAAAATAAAAAAAAATTTGAGACTAACAAACGTCTTTTCACGGAATTTATAAATACTTTCATAATTACTTGAAAAATTAAAAACTTAATTTACTTCAAAAATTAGACAGTGAAAAACGTAGACATACTTCGAGGGCTGAAGAATAGGCACTCATACTCAAGATTCACCAGATAGAAATGAGGAATACGAAACAGATTGAAAGTAGAGTTATAGATAAAAAAAATGAAAAATAAATAATATTTCATATCTTTAAGGCGAAAACGTATTTATCTTAACATTTTTAAGGCGAAAATGCTTAACACGAATTTTTGTTTAAGACGAAGAAAAGAGTTTTCCCATTAATCTGGATCGATTTTCGTAAATATGCATTTTGAGCTGTGCCCTGGTTTAAAGATTGATTACTTACTGTTAGTTCACATCACTTTGAAATTAGTTACAAACTAACTAAACACGTTAGGGGACCTTTGGCATTGTAGTGAGTGGAGCCAACCTAGATGGAAAGAGTGCCTGCTTATGGTGAAATTTTTCGTGACAGTTTTATTTGGTAGCTAGCACGTTGCAGGGCTAAAGAGAATAGAAGGGCTGGTTCACTCCTTTGAAGTATCTCTTGCCGCGGCGATNTGAGCACGTTGTTGCACGAAGCTCCTTCCATGTCTTATAGTGAAACAACGTCTACTTTAAAAAAAACTGTTTCAGCAAAAAAAGAAAAAAAAATGGAAACTGCGCTTTGACAGTTTGAAAAAAGTTTCTTCAACAAGAGTTTATTCAAAAGTTATAAACAAATATAGAATACAAAATTTGAAAGAAAAGTCAATAAACAAATTTTTTAAAGTCTAATTTAATGTGGTAAAAATATCACATTTGAAAAAATTACTATTTATCACATATCAGCCAAATTCTCACATTTGCTAAATTTAGTGCTGTTTATGCAAAATCATCGGATTTATCGCATATGTACAGAGTGGAATTTTATTATGACCTCAATATCTTGTCTAGCCACTGTCTTTGGGTTCTCTTCACATTTTCGTAGCATCTCAAACCATGCTCAAAAAGAGGATTGACTGAATCTTGATGACGGAATTTTATCCCGCAAATATTCAATGAAATTTAAATATTGCTGAAATAAAAGCAAACTCTTCATTATTTTCCTCAAAGCAATCCTTTACAGTATAACAGTTTGGTATTATTTATTATTGTTAAAAGTATTTCTCATTAATTTGATAAATAAGTAGCAATTTACAGTAAGAAAAGCAAACAAAAAATTATTAAAATTGCTTCTTACATTGAATAATCCTTGGGTAAACTAATTTCATAATTATGAGCAGACTTCTCACACGATTCTCATAATAAAAATGCCAAATGGCAAAATAAGAGGGAAAAAACAAAGATTAAAAGTCCAAACTTTCAATCACCGTCCTGACTAAACCCTTGAAACCATATTTAGTGGTTACGCCAATATTTTGAAGGTCTAAAATCCGAACCCGCCAGAAAAAATTAACAGTATCTTTATTCAGAGAGAAAACATTTTTGTGTGTCTGAATTTGAAACTTAATAGTTACTAATTAGCATATCTAAAGTTTACATCTCCCATAAAGATTAGAACTTTTCACGTGAAAATCCAATTACTAGAAATAGAATGTAAGTTCTTGTGTCAGATTACGTATCTTAAATTATCACCAGCACAAATTATCATATTTAATTTAACCTTTGAACCATTAAAGGTTTATTTCACTGCAAAAATCCCGTCATTAGAACAAAAGTTATTCAGGGTGAAATATCTTTAATTTAGTTCTCTGCACTTTATCAGCAAGTATGTTAAGATATATCTTATAAAGATCGTGCGCATGAAATGATGGCCCTAACGCATACCAGCAATACACTAGTGCTCTAATAGCTAATTTGTATTGAACTGAAAAGTGCTCATAAAATGGATCATAATTTATATTTCAGTTGAAAATAATCCTAAAGCACTTGAGGCACATTTTTGTTCAGATCTTTGAAACTCCTATCTCGACAAGTCTGTCAGACAACAATTTTTAAAGCATTGAGTTAAACTTAGGATTCTCAAACGTTGCACTAAACAAATTAACTTCAATAGAATTTTAGTGCATTGAATCTTTTTATACACTCTTTAGTGATTAGAAATAAGATGGAAAGCGCAACATATCTTTTAAGATCTATCAGTTATGAAAAAATTACATTAATGAAATCTATAAACTTTATTTAAATTCCATTTAAAAAGCGTATGCACAAAAAATAACATTTAAAAATTTTAAACTTACACATTTTTAGTCAAAACAGAGGTATTCTAAACATCTATACACTTTTTGGAACACCTAACTCTACAACAAATTTTCGAACCCAAGCATTCGCCATCATTAGTACAGGCGTTTCGAGCCATGAACCAAAAAACACAGATTCCTGGAGTGGGACACTTTTTTTTGTCGATTGGAAGCAAATTTATATCACTTTCTGTTTCATCAGTGTTGACATGAGATTCATTTATTTCATTGTTGGGGATCAAATCATTTTTAATATCTTCTATCTCACTGGATGCTGTTTCTGCGTCTAACTTATTCTGTGCTGACAGCACTAAATCGATCACACTGTCATCAATTATGTGATCTGTTAGAGAAGAATCAGAAAGATTGAAAATTTCCATAGCTACAGCGGCATTTTTTGCAACTTCAGATTGTGCCAAAAAATCTAAACCAGCTGAAACAATAGATTCAAGACCAGTTTGAGTTTCGTTTGTTGATACATTTTCAGATATAGAACTATCATCTTTTTGCAATGTTTCAGATTCATTAACTATTTGCGTAACAGAATTATCATCTTTTTGCAATGTTTTGGGTTCATTAACTAATTGCGTAACAGAACTATCATTTCTTGAAACTTCAGAATGTGCCAAAAAACCTAAACCAACAGAAGCAGTAGATTCATGGCCAGTTTGATTAAGAAGAGTTTTGTTTGCTAACGTATTTTCTGAGTCAGAACTATCATCCTTCTCTTGTAATAGTTCAGATTCATTACTTATTTTCATGATAGAACTATCATTTTTAGTGACTTCAGAATGTGCCGAAAACTCCAACCCATCCGAAATAGATTTATGAACCTTAAGAGTTTCGTTTATTAATATATTTTCAGAGTCTGAATTATCACCCTCTTTTTGTAATGTTTCCGATTCAGTAACTAATTGAATAGCAGAGCTATCTTTGGAGATAATTTCTAAGTCTCGTAAGTTAGCGTTGCTTAGATGACCAGAAACAGTTGGTTGAGAGGCATTAAGAGATTGAATGTTATTCTTTGACGGCTGTTTCAATGCTATATTTATTTTAATTTCTTTTCTAGGCAATTCTGCCGGATGATTATCGGAAACTGTTTCAAGTTGACCTTTTTCTTTCTGTGACACAGCAGAATCACTTGAAAATTTCTCATCTGAAAACGAAAGTTTAAATTTATTAAATTGAAGCACAATGTCTTAAAAATTTGTAACTTATCAGGAGATTCCAAGCTGTTAAGCAACAGAATTCTAGCTTCAAAATACTTGAAACCTGGACAAGGTATCTTAAAAATCTTAGAATGGTCAAATATCTGAAGAAATACATATTGGATAGGAAGAAAAAAATATATAGTTGCCATAGCCAATAACCTATTGTGCAGCTCTAGTGCGACGTAAATAAAGTGTCCACCTCTGAATAAATAAAAAAATTCTGCAGATTTGAATTTCTGATCCCTAAAATATAGGGGGTAGCCGCAGTGTGGGAAATATGATCCATATAGTTTGGTTAGGAGGGGTCCCAAGTTTGAATCCCTTAATGTTAATTTTACTTTTAATGTTGAACCACTTAATGCGATATCAGTCTAATAGTTTGAGAAATTGAATTTCGAAAAAGTCATATTTTTAAAATTCGATTTTTCAGGAACTATTTGACCGATTTCACTCAAATTTTGTATTTTGCCCTATATAATTACATTCTTTGAAAGGGTATTGAAAATTTAATACCTTACAATCTGAAACTTTTCGACTATTATATAATAAAATAATAAAAATTTATAATTATTATAAGTAATATTTTGCAAGGAATTATCTTTGGATGAACGAATTTTATAATTTTGTACACATTTTTTTCAATTAAATTAAAACCTTAAAGTAAAATTAACATTAGAGGGTCAAACTTTGGTCCACTCTCCTGACGCAAACAATAGGACCATATTTCCAAAATTGAGGCTACTCTCTATATTTCAGGGGTCAAATCTGAATCCCTCGAAAAAAAAGGTATGTTTATTAAGAGAAGTACTTTCTCTCTATGATATGGCTGATTTGGTAACTTAAACTATCGTGTGCACTTATTGATTAGCACATTTGAGGTCACTTCCTCGAAATATTAAGTCCTAGTATGAGAAGATCCGATTATTAGATCAAGAGTTATTCAGGGTGGTCCGTTTATTTTTTTGCTCACTGCACAATAAAGATGCTTAGATTTGAAATTGTATGACTTAGAAACTATTCAACTCCTTTCCCTCAAATTTCGTACTCACTCATTTAAATTACATATTTAAAATGGTATTAATTTGTATACATTACAATTTAAAATTTCTCTGACCTTTAATAAAATAAAAAAATTACGTTATCTTTGGCAGTTTTTTTATGTTTGGAACTATAGCTATTTAAGATAATTGTATTTTTATTTTCCTCATCCTGAAGCGCCCAAACAATTGAAAAAATTTTCTTTTAGTTTCATTTTACTAACTCGATTTCGTTCAAGAGAAACAAAATTTGCAATCAAAATTTCGAATATTTTTCACTTAGCTTGAATATTTTAATTGTTGCTTTTCTTTGGAGGAAGCAAAGTTTTAATTCTTTATTAATTCCTACAAGCAAAATTTACCACCACAGAACTAAAGAAATTTTTTCAAAATCACATTTTTCAAGTGGACTGAGAAAAGGAGGAATCAATTTCATTTTTGCCTCACCTAAAACGAAAATTGTTTAGACTCTTATATTTTAGTCTTAGTTGTATTTCACCATATCTCGGAAAATTTTTTAAGTCAATTAAAAAACTTTTTTTTTTCATACAATTATAAATTTCATTAAGCTAAAGATAATTCCATGCAAAAGCAGATTTTTGTGAGTATTTACTATTTTTCATAACTTCATTTTATTACTTATTTTATTAATAGTCAAAAAATTTTGAATTTCATACAATTTTTTACATAATTTTAAGGAATGTATTTTTACAAGGCGAAGTGCAAAATTTGAACAAATTCGATCGAATAGTTCCTCAAAAATTGAATTTTAAAAGTAAGACTTTTTCAAAATTTGATTTCTCAGAAACTATTCGACCGATTTCGCTCATATTTCGTATTTTGCCATTTGAAATTGTATTCTTTATAAAAAAAATATGCGAAAAATTGTATACCTTATAATTTAAAATGTTTTAGACTGTTAGGCAAATATAATAATGAAAAATAATTTTACTGAAAGTTATATTTTGCATGGAATTATGAACGAATTTCATAATTGCATGCAAAAAATTTTCAATTCGCTTACAAATTTGAGATATGGCAAAATAAGTAAAATTAACATTAAAGGGTCCAAACTTTGGATCCTGACCAGTTTTTCCCAGATTGCGGCTGCCCCTATATTTTGGGAGTCAGAAATCTGAAAAAAAAAAGATATGTTTATTCAGAGAAAGTACGTTTTTGTGTCTGATTTTGTAATTTGAAACATCGCCTGCACTAATTAATATATTTCAGGTCACCCCCTTGAACCATTGAAATTGAGTTCTTGAACGATCCGATCATTAGATCAGCAGTTATAAGGGTGGTCCGTTTTTTTTTAGTTTGCGCACTGTACATAAAGTTTACGTATAGCTGGCAGAAAACATGAATCTGCCACTTCGGCTATTTATAGATTCATGATTTTAATGTTGTGCTAATAATATTGTATTCTAGAAATGTATTATTTTTTACACAGGAAGTTAGAAGTTTTTAAAAACCTTTCACAACGGTACCAATAAAATCACATATTTCCAAATTGTTACTGAGATAGAAAGTTATAGTGCCAACTAGTTCTAGAGTCAGACGAAACTTTTATTTTTAAATATTTTTATCAGTTGGAATAAGTTATGCATAGCCGTGGATTTCTGGACTTAATAAAATTAAAGAGATAATAGTTCAAATTGAAATATTGTTGAAGCAAGTAAAAATTCAAATGTGATACTTAAAAAAAAAAAAAAGCAGATTTTAGTTAATTTTGGTACAGAGTTTTTGGCAATCTCTGCTATTGATTTAAATTCAAATTATTGGCAAATAATATTTAAAATGTTATTAAAATACTTACTGGAAACAAGAGTATCAGAATTTGAATTTTCTTTGGTTTTATTTATCTCTGCAGAAATATTTGAAATTGAAGCGAAATGTGTAGTTGAACAATTCTGGTCTTTTTCGCTTGAAGAAAGCAAAGATTTTGAACAGTTTGAGTTATTTCTGTTGACACCATTTTCGACTGACAAGCTCCTTGATGATTTAGACGTGTTCGAATTTAAAACTGTGTTTTCTGTTATCTCATAAATAACAGATGAATTCAAGAGTTTATCTTTACTAATAGTTTCCAATGTCACAACTGTTTCATTGTTAAAACTAGTAGAATTTTTAATAGATGATACCTCCCTATTTGCTTCTGTCGTGGTTTTCTTCTGATCTTTATCCATTATTTGATGGTTTGAAGCTTTTTTAGTTGAATCTACTTTAGGTTTTGTTTCCGTTGATAAAGTCCGACTTGGTTTAAATTTTTTTAAAACAACACCCGCATGGTCCTCATGAATAATCAAAGCAATTATAAAAGCAAACGCTACAAATATACTTAATTTTACTTTCATCTTAAAAGTTAGTTTCATAAAGCTTTAAATCATTTCAATTTTTTGAAGCAAATTTAAACGAAACTGAACTAAGTCTACGTTGACAAAACTACGTGCAGTATTGCTTAATGTTCCCATATGTTAAACTAGTTAGAAGGACAGAAGAGGCGACAATTTTTTTTTATCTATTAGGTTTATTGGAATTACTTACATTTGCAGGCTTGTGCTCTCAATTTAGGCTTATAAACCTTTGTCAAATAGAAGGACAGATAGCATAATAAGAAGGACAGCACGAAGATACTTCCAGAGTGGGATTCGAATCCACTACCTCCACGCTTTGCACAGCATTTGGCGAGTGATGCCGCTCGTCCATGGAGGCTCCAAAGTTTTTCTTTGATTTGTTGTTGCTGTTGTTGTTCATTTACGTCGCACTAGAGCTGCACAATGGGCTCTTGGCAACGGTCTGGAAAACATCCCTGAGGATGATCCGAAGACATGCCATCGCAATTTTGATCCTCTGCAGAGGGGATGGCACCCCCACTTCGGTAGCCCGACGACCTGCACGTGAAGTCGAGCACTTTACGGTATAACAGTTTAACGAGGACCAATACCGCACACCCTCGGTTCCTACGCAGGCTGATCCAAGTGGTCATCCACCCGCACACTGAACGTAGCCAGTGATGCTTGACTTCGGTGATCTGCTGGGAACCGTGTCTTAACGATCAATCCACTGCGGGACAAGTTTTTCTTTGAAAAGATAGCAGTTTAGTACTAGGGGCCATTCCCTAGCCGACAGTTATCGTCCAACAAATACTTTGGTGCGAGGTGGTAGAGGGTTCAAATCCCGCCATTACCTTGAATTTATCCTCGTGCTGTTTTTCTACTGGACAAAAACTATATGCCGTACTTATGCAATTGATTCTGCATATATATATATATATATGTACCAACAAAATACATAGATAAATTTATGTCCAGCAGCGGGCTGATCGTTTAGACATGGTTCCCAGCAGATCATTGAGGTCAAGCATCACTGACTGCGGTCGGTATGAGGGTGGGTGACAACGTGGTTCAGTTTGCGTAGGGAACGAGAGTGTACAGCATTGGTTCTCAATAAACTGTTCTACCGTAAAGTGCTCGACTTCGCGTGTAGGTCGTCGGGCTACCGAAGCAGAGGATTAAAATTGTGATGGCATGTCTTCGGATCATCCTCAGGGATGTTTCCCACACCGTCGCCAATAGCCCATTATGCAGCTCTAGTGCGACGTAAATGAACTACAACAACAACAACATTAATAAATTTATTAACATTTTTCTGACTCTATGGAGCTTCCTAGTTAGTGGGTTCGAATCCCACTGTAACCCTAGTTGTGTCTTTGATCTGTCTTTCACTAATTTATACTATTTGTTGATCAAATTAGCCGGGATTTGTAAGCCTTTCCTTCCGTTAAGCATTCAATTTAATGTGTGTGTGAATGAATACATAAAGAAATAACACATTAATGCCCCTAATATCACATTTATACATAAATACGCAAGCATGTCTGAAAGTGTTTGTCAAAGCTAAGAACAGGATCAACAAGTTACAGAAGGAAAAAGAAAATGCATCCTAGATTCCACCGCTAATCAAACTTACGACCTCTCTGTATTTTGAATACTGCCAATATTATTTTGAAATTAGACATCCATGAACAACGACTATTGCTTTTTGCTGAAAAGGGAATGCAGAAAAACCGATTCTCATCGTAACCCTGCAAATATTTTTTCATAATTTCTTGGCGATACCTTTCTGTAATTTTTGTTGTTTTGCATCGTGTTATTAGTGTTTATAAAATTTAGACGAGGCTATTTGAGCTCACAGGCATATATATTAACATATGAATCAATAAAGATATACATAATGAATACGGAGTTTCTTTTATTTATTATTGCAAATACATAAGCAGATTGATATTTTCAGTACCAAGAGTGGACCTTTTTAAGTTAAAGAAAAAAATCTCCAGCTTAAGGATAATTTGGGGTTCCCCCTACCTACATGCTTCATAGTGTTTGGAGGAAATGAATATGGAGTTTACTTTCTTTTATTTATTATTACAAATACATAAGCAGATTGATATTTTCAATACCAGGAGTGGATCTTTTTAAGTTAAAGAAAAAATCTCCAACTTAAGGATAGGTTGGGGTTCCCCCTACCTACATGCTTCATAGTGTTTGGTGGAAGTATAATGTCTATGGATCTATCGTAACTGAACTACAACAACTACAACAGCGTGATGCACATATTTCTTAATCCATGCATGAAATCAATGCAAAGTCGCGAGTTTATATAGATAAGAAAGCACTAAAAACAATACTCCATAGACAGTGTAAATGTATACTTTATTTTATAAAAATCGTTGAGCAGCCAACCCAATTTTTTGGGTTTACGACCACTAATGTTCGTGCCCTTGTAATTTTGAATCCAATCCAGAAGATAACAAAACTCCTGGATTAAGTATTGGGAGAAATTTGCCTTCATGGAGGACTTTTTGATGGAACTTACCCGCATTTGCGTTACATAAGGAGGAAATTCACGAAAACCTTTCATGGTTAGCCGAACTGCAAAGGGAGTCTGATCCAGGATTCGTCCAGCACTGAGGATATTTTACGCCAGCACTGTGGTCGGTGAAAGCCGGATGCGAAACTCGTATCGACTAGTGTAAACGTATAGTCATGAAATAGCGACTTCATGAAAACGGATCAAGTGAGCACCGAAGACTGCAGTAGTGGGTTATAGAACAATTTAACAAGGTGGCCGGTGTAACCCAGATACTATAAATATTTTAGAAAATGCCATAAGTTCTTGCGCCAAAGTCACTGAATCATTTTAAACACACAATCGTAGAACTCTAACGTTAGACGAAGTTCACCAAATTATTATTGAATACTAGACCATAACACAAAAGGTTGTAAGTTCGTACATCGAAGTTACTGAAAGAGCATTAGTTAAGAAGCGAAAAGCATGTAAACGTTCGATTGTAAAATCAAAAACTTGTGATTCTGAACTTAGAACTCAAGAATGGATTTAACATGCATACAAACCGATTTGAGACATCTTTTAAACTTTCTCAATGATTGGAAGGGCCATGGTAGCCCATAAGTTATAGAATCGGACTACGGTATCTGGAGGGGCCGGGATTTGATCCTCGACTCCACTAGGAACTTCCGAGAACGTGTTCGTAAAATCTGTAGTATCGAAAGTCTTGTGGTCGGTAGCTGGGCAGTACCATGGGTACAAAGATCTGGATAAAACTTCCTTCCCCTTCAGATATATGTCTAAATTGAAGAAGTGGCTTCACATATTTTGATGACATGTCTTCAAATCATCCTCAGGGATGTTTCCCAAACCTTCACCAAAAGCACCGCGGCTCTAGTTTCTTTTCCCCTCTCTTTTTTTTAAAAAAAAAAAACTTTTTTTACAGACTATTGTATAAAAGTAAAGATCATTTTTCTAATTTTAGGTTTAAGCATTAAAACTAGGTTTGAAAAAGTTACTTTTCTGAAAACTTACTGAAACAAGTCACGCAATCATAACTTTTATACGATACTAACTTAATTTGAAAAATATTTTCAATTTTAACCATGTTTTTATAACCCTTAGATCAAGAGGTATTCACGGCACAGTTTTTGACATCCCATGTGTAGAAAACTCGAAGTCTAATTTGATTAAAAGTTTAAATATTTAACCACAATTTTTTTTAAATTTAGTAACTTAATTTAGCTATGTTTCGATATAAAAAAAGATATTAGTTTTTAAAAATATTAAGATATATATATATTAATATTTCAAAAATATTAATATAAAATATTAATTAATATTAAAAGAGGTAATCTATAATAAATGCTTGAATAAAATTTACTTGAAAAATCGCTAACAGGAAGAGTAAAATAAGATTTGAAAAATAAAATTTTTTACTGATAAATGTACCATGTAATTATAATTTCCAAGCAAGTAATAGTTTTAAAAAATAAATTATATTTTAAAATAAAAAAATTCTTTTAAGAAAAATTTAAATATAGAAAATAATGTTTTTAAATAGAAATAACGTTTTTAAAAAACAATTAAATATTTTTAAAACAAAGAATATTTTTTAAAAATAAATAATATTCAACAAAATGAGAATTTTTTTATAAAAAATAATAAAAATTTGATCTTCTTTAAATAAAAAAGCAATATTTAAAAAAAATATAATAATTTCCTTCAACCAATAATAAAATAAATAATAGTTTTAAAAAATTTAGATTTTTGAAAATAAGAATATTCTGAAACTTAAAAATAATGTTATTAAAATTAAAAATTCCATAAATAAGAATGCTTATGTTATTAAAAACAAGAAATTCCTATTAAAAAACGAGCTTTTATTTTTAAAGAGTATTATTTTTAAAAATAAAATTTAAAGAAGCATGTCTCTAACTTCTTGATTGTTGAAAGCATAATACTGTTAGTTCCCCTTTCAGTCTCAAACAAAGTACATGATCTTGTAATCTTTCCCCCCCCCCCAAGAAATTACTGAAAAGGTTACAAGCGCACCTCCCAAATATGAGGAAGAGCGTCACGCTATTCCTCGCTATATATTTTACTCTATAAGCTTCATCGGTAATAAACATTTGGTGTAAAAGAGGCGATAATCGCGCCAAGCTAGTTTACGAGCTAAGCAGTAGAATCATAAGAGGCTATTATGAGTCGATGGGGAGGGAAAATGAAAACCTGGACCCGAGGATGAAACAACTACGACACCGCGGCTCTAGTTAGACGTAAATAAAGTACCTACCCAATAATTGCCACAGTTTGAACTATTTATGAAAACAAAAACCCTTTATGAGGAATATTTAAATTTAAGAAAATAATTAAAATTAATAGAAAATGAGTTTTTAAAAATTTATTTCAACATATGACACAAACTGTGTGAAGTAAAATTCCTAAGGTCCACCTGACCACAGATCTTCATAGAGTTTGTTAGATTAATTGCTGATAGGGAACAATCTAAATCACCAAGACAATGCAAAGCAAACTCGTTTTCTCATCTCGTGATTAGGTTTACTTATTACTTTCAGCAATTATGTCAATATCGAGACATGACTGCATTCTTAAAAATTAATTTTAAAACTAGCAAATTGTTCAAATTAGAAATGGAACTAATATTCATTTATTTTTAATTAGGTCTCTAAGAATTTATTAAATGAAATTATAATTAAATTGTATTAATTATTAGAAATAATTGTTGGCTTTTATCGCAATCGCCAAAAAGCAATCGCCATCTGCTGTCACTCCCGTTATCCACCAAAACGTTCTTCGACGCACAAAATCAGCAATCCAAATGCACAGTGCATTTCCCAACAATCTTTTTTTAAGAAAATTTTTGAAACATCCTGTATT